CCTGGTGCTGGTAGTACATTAGGTGGTGCTGGCCGTGGATCTTCAATGTATGGGCAACCCCCAAGCTCAGCCGGGATGCCATCAGGAGATTATCCACCACAGGGTTCTCATTACGGTTCTTTACATCAACCTCACGGGCTACAAAACCAAGGCCCCGGGGCATCAGCTGCACCTAGAGTTGCACCTGGGGGTATGTACCAGGGGATGCATTCATATTACTGAGGTAAATTTCTTCCTTTTCACCTGATTATTGTGATTAGTGGTTGGTGCTCTGTGGTGCTCTCAGATTTGGTTGATCTTGGACTTTTGGTCACTGCTGTTAGTAGTTCTAGTTGTCAGTCACTTGAGTATATCAGTGCCCAAGTGTTCTTTTTCCATCAGTATGCTTTGCATTCTACCTGTAGAATATTCTTGCTTGAAAATGTTGTGTGTAGGCTTGATTGGAATGATAAACATTTTTGTGACATGCTGGTAAAGTCGGCTTAATTTTTAATGAGTTTTAGTGGAATGTGCTTGCTGATTCTATGATCTGGTTGTGGATATACTTGGTGTTCACCAATCTTTTCTGGTATGAGCTGTACTAAGTAAGACGATGTGTGATAAAACGAGAAAAACTAAAGGAAGGCAAGAACCACTAAAGAAGTTTCCTTAATGTAGTTAATTGAATTTGGTTTATGGCAGTATGGTTGATTCACATATATTTGGGTTCTTTGTGTTCTTGAAGTTTGTTGAATGCGTCTTAATTAATGTATGTAGATTTTAGAGTGACATTTTGCATTAGATAAAGGAACATACATCATTGAACAAGCTTTGTAAATGAAAGTTTATTTGTCTCTTCCCTTTCTTTATTTTTGTGCTATCTATGTGCCTTGAATGTTACTTATTTTCTTTTGTTACCTTGAAATTTTGCTTTGAGAACACCTAACAACAATCAAGAATTCAAGCAATGGGATATTGTCCTAGATCATCTTTTTATTTTTCCTCCCTCTCCACTTCAATTATCCCGATTGATTAGATTTTGATTGTGATGTTTGTCTGTCACTCTGTCTTTCAATGTGTTGTTATTAATTCCAGCTTGATTATTGATTGTTGTTGTTGTTCTTCCAGATAGTGATTGTGTTGACTGATGTTGTCTGTCTTTTGATGGATTGTTCTTAATCCTGGATTGATTAGATTGATTCTCTCTGTTTTTGTACTGTCCTTATAAAGGTTTTAACTACCATCATGTTCCTTTCTTTTGATTTCACTTGAAGATTGTCTTGTTTTCGGATGTGGAATGATCTATTGAGTTGTGAATGGATGTTTGATTCAGGTGTTTTGACAGCTTGGTGCAGCTGCTTTTAGTGAATCTGGATGAATGCAGATGTTTATAAGTCTGGTTTGATGGTTTTGATTTGCTTTCTACTTTGGCTTCTGCATTTGCACCCTTTACTGATTTCCTTCTACATTGTGGTAGTCAGGCTGTTTCTTTCTTCAGGAGGCCTCAGGCTTTTTGAGTTCTAGTTGGAGTTTGTGTTTGGATATAAATATAGTGATGTCTTGTACGCTTTTGAGCCTTAGAAACGATGTGCTGTATTGAAACAATTTTTAGATTGCTGTTGAAGTTGCTGAAATTAGTTTCTTATGGTATTTGGAGGACCTTTGTTTCTTTACATTTTAATTGTCTGAATCTAGAATTCTTCTTCTTTTGTGCCTTTTTTGCTAGCTATGTCATTCTTTTGTATGTGATGAAAGCATTGGTTTTATGCGTGTACGATTGTCTGCCTTGTTGTCCAATATATGTTCGTCAATTATTTTTGAGATTTGAGAGGATGTTTTTTTTTTATGACAATAAAAGAGGGAGGCAACATTTTAGAGGATGATTTGGAAGGATGAGTTTGATTAATTGTGATATTATGTTGCGACTATCTTAGTTACAATTGATTGCATTTGTGAACTGGATGGGAGTGCCATTTGATTCCCTCATTTTGCATTTTATGAGTCTCCCAAAGTTGTGGCTGGCTAAGTTGTATTTCACTTGTTTGTTGCTTGGCTATTTGAGGATGTGCCTTCTTCTGTGTTGTGATGGCTTATAGAAGTCAAGCGCAAGACCTATCTAAAGTTGATTTTTGGGTGCAATCTTGGTGAAAATACTTTTGTTTAGGATAGGTCTATTATTGAAAGTGATTTTTTTGGTAACATAATTTTGTTATCAACGTAAATGAGGGCTTCACTGGTATATAAGCAACATACAATATGGAGAAGTTCATACAAAAGTATAATTACTTACTGATCACACTTGTTATCTATACGTACTTGATTCTTTTTGGAACTCCACGAGTTAAGAAAGATGATATTTTAATGGTCAATGCAAAATAAACACAAACTTCTAATATGTACAAGTGAGTTTTCAATCCTTTTATTAGGTTTTCTGATTTCTCTCTTAGAACATGATACCTGAGTGCTAGAGGAGCCATGTTCCAAGCGTTACTTCTCCTTTTCTTCCTAAATTCCAGCTTTAAGTGAAGTTGACATTTTCCCACCAACTCTCCTGGCATCACCCATGAATTCCAAAAAGATTCATACTGTACTATCTGGCATTACAACAACAACTAACCCAGTGTAATCCCACAAAGTTAGGGTCTGGGGAGGGTAGAATGTACACAAACCTTACCACTACCTTAGAGGTAGACAGGCTGTTTCCGGTAGGGTTTTTCTCCAAATTGTTTAGCTTTATTATCAAAAGAAACATGAGTTATTTTTCACTTTTCTCAAATTTCTCCATTGTAAGGATGGTTTCTGCACCGCAAGCCAAGGCAAACAATGGATGAAGTCATTACTCCATCCTTCACTTTTTAAAGGTATCCTAGTCTGTCAATCTAAATTGCTCGAATCCTTAGAAAATGTAGCTGAGCATATGTCAAATCTTGATAACAATCGTATTATGACCCGAAGAACTTGATAAAGAAAATTAAGAATTTAAAGAAATTGCTGAAGCTTGAAATAAAATTAAAAAACCCTTAGAAAATGTAGCTGAGCGGATGTCAGATCTTGATAACAATCTCAGTAGAACCCGAAGAACTTGATAAAGAAAATTAAGAATTTAAAGAAATTGCCGAAGCTTGAAATAAAATTTAAAAATGAAAAAGAACTGAAAATAAAGAAAAGACCAAAATTCAAGAATGTGCTACTTGAATTTAGTAATGGATCAAACAATTCAAGAAACAATCTAGAATTTCAAGACAAGACTAAATCTTGAAAAACATTCATAATAACAATAAGCCTTTGGTGAGAATAATTGCAAGAATTAGATTATAGATCCCGGCCCTCCCAAGTAAAGGAAGTCTTAAATTCGTTAGTAACCTTGCGTAAGTATACTTGCTCAACATTACAATGTTTTAATTTTTTCACTCCCACTACAGATCACCTCATTTTCCCTTTGCAGGTTAGTTTATATAATTGGCATGTAGTAACATACTTTGCATTTAGTAGAAGGAAGGCTTAAATTCGCTAGCAACCTTGCTTAAGTATACATGCTCGACATTGCAATGTTTTAATTTTTTCAGTCCCACCACAGATCACCTCATTTTGCCTTTTGCAGGTTAGTTTATATAATTTTGGCATGTAGTAACATACTTTGCATTTAGTAGAGCGACACAGTTAGAGTGGGTCGGATAAGATGGTGATTATTTAGTTTCTCTCCCAGATACTAGTTCTCTTTTTCTTTTGTAGGTGGAGAAATGTTTTCTGTTGAAACGTTAACATCCTTCATTACATTTTGTAGATGTGAAAATTGGTGGTTGTTTTTGTTAACCTCACATGCATATTGAAATGGAAGTGTTTCTTGGTTGAAAAGTTGAAACCCTCTTGTCACTATTTGTAGGTGTGAGAATTGGTGATATTTGATTAGATCTGCAAGCATATTGGAATATTGAGTGTTTCTAATTAATTTTGAATTTCGATTTTTATATGAACGGTCCCCAACTTGTTTGAGAGTGAGTTGTTGTCCATACTGGATTGATGTGAATTTGCACTCTGAGGTCTAAGTGGCTACTGAGTCACAACTCCTAAATTTTTACATTGTCATGAGTTTGTCTCAAGTTGCCAATTTGACTTGTTTTAGATTGTCTTTCATAATCGTCCCTTTTTAGGTGAGAATTATTTGTTTACGTGTCAGATGCCTCTGCTGTGAGCAGCAGTTAACTATAGGTGTTTCCTATCTTTGAAAATGTAGATTCTACACTTACACCGATTGTTTGTCAAGTACCTAAATTTCATATGTTTGTTTGCGATTTTCTGGGTAAGGTATGTATACACTCTGTGGGATTCCACTGGGTATGTTGTTTTTGTGATTCCGGCTAATATAAGGCGAAACAATCAGACCTTACCAAAATTCATCCAGCTTTTGTTGCGAACTTGGCTGTGGTCTACCCAAAATTGAGCCAGTTACGAGATTGGATGTCTCAGGCTCTCTCCTAGCCTAGTCAACGCTTCTGGTTTTAGTTGTCAAAGTTCCATCAAGAATTGTATGAGCTTTTAATTGCTGTGATGTGTGGTTTAAGATGTCCATTGATACCGTGCATCATTTGCTAATTATATTCATAACAGTAGACTTCTCGTTCAAAGGGTCATGACTTGTGTATGTGAAGGAAAATCTTGTACTGGAAGCTTGACCTTTTCAATACTAGTAGTGGATATTCTTCCTGTCAACTGCACTGAATATTGATCATTCTTTTGGTGTTAATGTTAATTACTTACATGCATTACTTAAGAGTGCCAAATACTTGTTCCTACCACACCCTCATTTTGCAAGTTGAAAGGGAGCTGACCTATTGGCGATTATTTTTAATCAACTATGTCAATAGAAGTTAGTTTTGTTCGACGAAACAATGCTGTTATTTGTACTTGGAATCTCAATTATATGTCAGTAGGAGTTGTTTGTTCTCTATTATATGTAGTTTCAGCACACTAGGTTTCTCTGTTGGGGCATTCATTTCCTCCAGTAAGTGGTTCATCTTCTGCTAATCTAGTATGCACCAAAACTGGAAGAAAGACAGATAAATCAAAATTTATTGCATTTGATCATTGGACAAGTTCATGAAGACATGTTGTTCTCCATAATTGTAGATCAAATGATATAGTAGTTAAAGAGGGACCAAATCTAACCTCCTTATGCTTATATGAAAACTTTGATGTACTAAGATATTGGTAAATTATAGTTTTGATCTCATTATTGTTCTACTTATTTTCAAACACATGTTAATAGAACTAATGTTGAATGACTTCAATTATTTTCTAATTAGTAGTTGAATTCATGCCCAGAATGCACTTACTTTTTAATACTTCCAAGTTTCATTAGAGTACTACTCAAATTGTTGCATTATTGTTTCGAAAAACCTTTACACTAAAAGGTACATAAATTGTAAGAAAAAAACTAGCTGTCCTAAAACAGAACAACTAAGCCAAATTTTCTATCAATGATTACGGTAATCTTGTAGCAAAATTGCATATAACAACTGATTCCATGTATCAGGTACTCCTGGTAAGCACCAGTGAATACAATCAGCGTAAGTCTTTGGCTCTGATCTTTCTTCTTTAGTCAACAGTTTACCTCTCCGTTCACCATACACTGAAGTGTGACCATCTTTTCTGTACTCAGACAACTGAGTAATATTCAGCAAACGCACATTAACTTTCAGTTTTTCAATTACATCTTTCAAGATCGACATGATTTCAAGATTTGAACCTGTTCCCCAGTAGGGTCCTTCCACTGGTTGCGTCTCGTTAAAGCAGTTCCCATCAATTCCACCTTCCCATTCCCAGTTCCTGCAAATGAATGAAAGATTTTCTTATGTCTAATACACAATGGATCCAATATCATCTCATCGACACTAAGTAATGAACTCACCATAAATGTGTTGGGGACATTGTCGCGAAAAAGACCTTTTGCTTTTGAGGATTAATACTCGACTCTATCCAACTTCCCCAGGTTTCCAACGCCAATTTATATGCTGTTGTTACATTATATTCTCGAACGTTTTCAGGAGATCCATATCTGCAGAAACAGAACAATATTAGTTCATTCTGCTGTAATTCTTTTGTATGTGTTTTTTGAGTGAAAAGGGTACTTACGTTGCATTAATGAAAGGTTTATGCATCCACCACACATAACTTTCAAAAACCAAAATATCAACTCCTTGCCAAAGTTTGCGATGGTTTTCTACAGAGTCAAGCTTAACTAGTCGCTTCATTACAGTATGATTAGTTGCATGATCTGATATAGATTCAACCATGAAAGGAGCCCAGTAATATTCAATCGACGTGTTAAATTCCTACAACATAAACAACAACAAATGTTTAGGTGAAAAGTTGTGTACACAAATTCAAGTTAAATACTCCATTAGCACCTCAATTCTGAAAATCTTTCTAGGAGGAACTCTTTTGATAGTATGATCACCACCATCTGCAATTACTGATTGAACAAGACAAACCATTGACTCAAACATGCCTCTCTGTATAGAATCTCCAATAAACATGATCCTTTTGTCTCTCAACATCTCCAACATCTTCAAAGCATTGAACCTGAGATCAACAAACATTTACAAAACAATCCCCCCCCTAAAATGTAAGATCAAATTTCATTACCTTGGCAAGTTACAACCATGAGGCTGCCATCTCCAATTCTGATAAAAAGAATCAGGTCTTCCATTTCTTTGACAAGTAACTTGTTTAACTAAATAACGACATGTCTCTTCTTTATAAAGTGGATATGTTACATTGTCCCAAACCCATTTTCCTTCAAATACATTGCAACTTTCTTCAATTATTTCATTCTCAGAAACATTTATTGCTACTCTAAGAAACTTATTTTGCCATAGAAATTGGAATTGGTTATTTTTCAAGTTATCAAGTAAAAATCTAAGAGTTCCAAGAAGAAAAAGCGAGATTAATGCAAGAGGAAAAAGGAAAAAGATCTTACGATTCTGTGGGGGTTGGGTTGTCATATTGGTGGGAGTAGAATTAAGATTAAGCATAGTGTAAAATAGGAGGAAATAAATGTCTTGTAATTTAAGCATAGTTTGAATGCAACTACTGGTTGGTGATATAGTGAGTTAGGTACATCAAGAGCCTTAAAAAAATCTTTAAATAGGTATATTGTAAATGTAAAAAATTATTTATACTATCAAGTCACTTTAAATGATATATGATAGGTAAGTCTCCTTAATGTGAGATTTGAAATTTTAAACTAAGATAAGTTACCTACTATAACATGTAAAATGACATAGCAATATAAAAATTTCTTACACTGACAACGATACTAAGTTTACCATATAAATTAAATACATAAAGATCCCCCCCTCAATTATTTACACTCTCAAGATGAAAAAAGGATAATATCTTTTCAGCATTTATTTCATTTAATATTTTTTAACTTTCTTTATTCTTTTCGTTTTCTTTCTAATGATTAATTTTGTTCTTCCTTGCTCGTATTCCCATAAAAAAATAAAATCTTAACGTATCTTTAGTTTTTCATAGTAATGTTATTAGACTGTACATTTTTCTTAGTACATATATCCTCATAATAGATAGGAGCATAAACTGTAAAATTTCGAGGCTACAAAAATAGTTAATATTAAATCATCAGCACTATATAAAAATATTTTCCCTAGAGTAGCTGTTAATATGAATATGAGAAATTTTATAATAGTCATTTTTGTACATTCAATGTACTCTACAGATAGAGAAATACATAGAGTTCGAACATAGTTGAACATAGTAAATTAAGAAATTGAATTTCAATTCTATTGAAATTGTTCGTTTGAATTTTTTTTCGAAAACAACAACGATATCTGTTCTTCTTTGACTGCCATTAATGTTGATCATTACTATAAAACACATTAATGTAATAAATAATTATTTTCATCAGATATGTCATTATATCATTTCTTAATCTTAGAAGGTCAGAGAAAGACAGCTAAATTAAAGAGTTGACTCCTCTTTATTATGATAATATAAATAAACATTTCCCTTGAATCTGGATATGATTTGCCCTTAGAGGAACATGGAAGGCACTAATGTAGAGGACTTTTGTTTTATTTAACTCTATTTTTTTTTATGTATAGAAAACGATAGTAACATAATCAGAGTTATTTAAAAAAATAATTAAGTATCATGATCAATGAAGCGAGTTGACAATCATGAAGTTTTGATGTCCAAATTTAGTAGATACAGAACATACTAGTGATTTCTTCTCATCTATCATAAACTTGATTCCATACAGAGTTATCTTGTACGTATTATTGTTATTGATGAGAGTTGACAAATATCACGTGAATATATACTAGTCAAGGTGTGCATGGCTTAAATTAAAAAAAGATTTAAAATAATTAGCACGTTATGAATTTGGTGAATATATAATTTAGCTATGTTATAAATACAGGATGATTAGAAACTTTGATTATAGATTAGCAAAAATGAAGAAGTTTACCTTACTAATTTTGAACATAATTATGTTTTCAATAGGCAACTGTGGTGGCCCTTTGATCTCTCGTTTGTACTTCATCCATGGAGGTCAAAGAATTTGGCTCTCCAGTTGGTTACAAACAATTGCTTGTCCCTTAATCCTCATCCCTTTATCCATCTCCTATTTTCACCGCCGGAAAATCGAATCTCCGGCGACCGCCAGAATCTTCTCCTTAACTCGTCGAGAAATCATCGGATCTACCGGCGTCGGAATCATCGCCGGTCTCGACGGTTACTTTATCTCATGGGGACCTGCAAAATTACCCGTTTCAACTTCATCTCTCATCAACGCAACTCAACTAGCGTTCACCGCACTCTTCGCTGTACTTTTAGTAAAGCAAAAATTGACTGTGTATTCGAAGTTATCTGTTTTTCTGTTAATCGCCGGAGCTGCAACTTTAGCACTCCGTGGGAAGGGCGATCGGCCGGCCGGTGTTTCTGTTAAGGAGTATGTGATTGGGTTTGTGATGACGGTTATGGGTGCGGTTTGTTTTGGGCTTATGGTATCGCTTATTGAGTTGATTTACATAAAGGCAAAAAATGCTATTAGTTATACTATGGTGTTGGAGATTCAGCTGATTATTGGTGTTTCTGCTACTGTTTTTTGCACCATTGGAATGATAATTAACAACGATTTCCAGGTATTCCTCTCCATTTTCTTCTTTTAATACTCGTGGAATTCGAGCTCAACCTTTGATTATAAATTTTTGAAGTTAAGAAATTTAAATTTTTGAAAGTTGTAATTTTCTGAAATTTAAATTGAGTTAGTTGAAACTTGGAAGTTAGTCTGGTTAGTTATTCATAAATATTACTTTAACGAGTTGTTTGATGCGAAGTATAACACCAAATAATTTTGGGTATAAATTATGATGTTATTTAATTGATAAGTGGATAACTTATTTTGAATTAATAATTAGTATTGAATAAATTTCTCTCCTTTGCTGGTACAATAATCTCGGATAATTTATTCCGAAATAAAATAGGTAGAATGACAAATAACACAAGTCATCTAAATATTGAAAAATGAATAGTACTTAAGAATAATATAAAATAAGTACAACTATTTTAAAAACGAATATATATTTTTAAATAGTAGACAAGTAAAAATAAACAAAAGAAAAAAATGAATTCCACTTCTAAGCTACTTGTCTCCTTAAATAAAATTACATTCAATGACCTTAGATCTTGTATTTCTGAGTTCGCTTTCCTCATTATCTACTAAGTGAAAAAGTGTTGCTTAAAAATTATGGCTAAAACTTCAAATTTAACAAGTTATGTTCGTGACGCAAGCGAAATTAAAAGTTTAAAAACACTTATTTCTCTACCACCATACTCCCAACCACCACTATTTGACTAACCCACTTCTACCACCCCCATCTCTACTATCATTGTACTCTCATGATATTTTTTAATAACAACAACAATATGTGATCTCATAAGTGGACTTTACAAATAATAGAATGTATATAAATTTAACTTTTATGTTGTGAGATAAGGATATTATTTCTAAGTTATACATAAATACCTTTAAAATAATATATTTTATTTATCAGATGTAACAAAAACATATTAACATCTTATTTGACAGGCAATTCCAAAGGAAGCAAGTGAATATGAGATTGGAGAAGCTAAGTATTATTTGGTACTTGTATGGTGTGCCATTATTTGGCAGTTAGCATTGATGGGATTAGTTGGAGTGATATTTTATTCTTCATCTTTACTTTCTGGAATTATAGGTGCTTTTTTACTTCCTGTTACTGAGATTTTAGCTATAGTTTTATTTCATGAAAAATTTCAAGTTGAAAAGGGAGTTGCTATTTTCCTAGCTCTATGTGGATTTGTTTCATATTTCTATGGTGAAATTGAGCAGAGCAAGAAGGAGAAACAGGATAATTTCATAAATGATCACTTGGATTATATTGTATTGCATCAAAATAACTAAAGTATTTTTGTAATAAAGTCTATATATACATGAATGTAATGCCATTACAAACAAATTTTACATCGAATTCAAACCTCAGCACATACAATTATAATTTACTCTAAATCGTTTAACAATGAGACCACAAAAGTAAAAGAATATCAAGTGGACAATTTACATGGACTTCCAAAGAAATAAAACTCAACAATTTCAAATTTATATTTTACAAAAAAAAACTCATCATTTTAAATTTAGAAAAGTTAAAATAAATTATACTCGATATAAAGAGATTATATGTAACACGTGAAAGAATTATATTAACAAATAACTAATTAGTACTATTGCTAATTTATTAAATTAGTGAATCTTTGAAATTAATATGCTTATAAGTTTGTCATACTAATATGTTATTAAAAATATTTATTTATAAAAAGAATATGAACTATATGCAATTTATAATAGATATCATATTTTTTTTAAAATATTTTCTTATAAATTATAATTTACTCATTTAATAGAGAGTAAATAATTTTCACAAATATAAGATTTTCATATTTATCAAACAAATATTAATTTTGAAAAATTAAATTAAGAGGCCTCTAAACTATAGTGTTAAAAAGGGACTTGGCTCCTCTCCGGTAGCCAATCGGTCCAGTTGCTCCAGTCATGATAAGCACCGTCGGGACTGGTGGCGTTCGGATAAGCAGCTATCTCCGGCTGCCGTACACGGTGGAGACACTTCTCCGCCGCCGTTGCCGTCTCTTCACCTCCTGCTCTGCCTCCTCTACTAAGGAGAAAGTTATTGTCATTTCCGGACCTACCGGTGCCGGTAAAAGCAAGCTAGCATTAGAGCTCGCTAAGCGACTCAATGGTGAAATCATCAGCGCGGACTCTGTACAGGTTATTACTTAACTAACCTCATAAATTGCTTCCATTTGGTTAGTTAGAAAATTGAAATTGACAGTAAACAATTGAATAAAATTGAAGTACCAAAACTTGAACTTAAATGAAATAGCAAAAATTATCACAAACTTGTTAATGTTGCTTAACTGAATGCAGTGGTGGAGCTAGGTAGGGTCGAGAAATCACACTTCATTTATATGTATATATAGTAGATGTTCAACCTCTATCATGGCTCTGCTACTGACTGAATGATGTTTGTTGAAATTCAGTTGATTTATGCTTTGTTCTCTGGCTTTATAGGTGTATCGAGGGCTTGATGTCGGTTCAGCGAAGCCTTCCTTTGATGAACGAAAGGTATTGCTTTAGCAAATTTGAATTATGTTTTGCTAATATTAGCATGTTTACTGCCTGGTTTTTTGAGGCATGCTTTTAACATGAAACTTTTTTTGCCTTCTTTTGGTTTCCGCGTAATTTTTGGTTTCATGTTTGGATGTACTGAATGACTAACTTCTGGAGCTTCATTACTACTTGTTTGTCCGTTTGAGGAATGGAAAATACTTTTTGAATTTTATAGAACCATGTGTCAGAGTACTGCCATGACAGACACTTATTTTGCTGTATGTTTTGCAGGAAGTAGTACATCATCTGGTTGACATATTGCATCCATCCGAAGGTATTTCTGTCTAAATTAGAGGGTCTGAGGCATTGAAACAATATTTAGCATGAATTTCAATAGCTGTGCAGCTCATCCCTTCACTCAATGAAGTATGATCTATGCCCTCTACATTGTCATAAATTGTAATTTGGTGCATATATTTGTTGGCGTGTGCATAGTGACAGTCATGACCAATAGAAGCCCTCTGCTTTCCATATTTGTGGAACATCAGAACTTAAAATCAATGAAGGGAACACATCAAAATTCCTCAATTTGTTGAAACCCTCAAATTGACCATTTTATATCTATCATTTCACCTTTGTTTGTTTATGCTCAAGGCATTTGCAATGTTTATACAAATCGTCGAGATTAGTGATCACTGGCATTTGTAACTTTAGACTAACACAACATTCCAGACTCCACTGTGATCAAGAGTCCTTTTTCTAGGGAACCTGTGCCAGTTGGGCGGGGTGGGGCTGTTATTTGAAGTGAAATTTCCTTCATCTGATTTGCTCATATAGTCATATTTAGTTAACTGTATGCCCTATATGATGTGCCCTTAAATTTGTTGTCCTTTAGTTCTAACACATTTTTTTTCTCCTTTTCTTTTGGATATGTCATCAGATTATTCTGTTGGACAATTTTTTGAGGATGCTAGGCAAACTACCAGAGATATCCTTGATAGGGGCCGTGTTCCAATAGTCGCTGGTGGTACTGGATTATATTTGCGATGGTATGTGTAGGATATTACAGCTCACACTTGAAAGCTTCTGGTTAGATTGAGGAGCACATTTCAAAACTAAAGCTAAACTTTTTGGTTGCAACTTGTTCAACAAAGAAGATTCATTCTGTAAAACTACAGACTGTGAGAGAGCAAGAATGAGGATAAGTTTTGTTGAGAGATGTCTATTTACAAGCTTTATTATATTTAAAAATGAAGCTTACATATATCCTGTAACTGATAATAGAATTGGATCTTGGGTGTACGAGAATTCCGTTTTCATGCAGTCTCTACAACTGAGTCACTTAACCTTAAGGGCCATGATCTTCCAACTCACATAATAAATTCTGTCCAATGTTTAAGGTTTATTTATGGGAAGCCAGATGTTCCAAAAGCCTCTCGAGAGATTGCTGCTGAAGTTGACTCAGAGCTTGCAAGTTTACAGAATGATGAAGAGTGGAATGCTGCTGTTCAGTTGTTGGTTAAAGCTGGTGATCCTGGTGCCCAGTCTTTACCGGTAAATGATTGGTATCGCTTGCGTCGCAGGCTTGAAATTGTTAAGGTAAAATTGTGTAACTTTCATGTGCGATTGCTCTGATTTTAACACCTTCTTTGTAGATCACGTGTTGTATGAGTTAGGTTGACATTAGAGATTTCTGTGTTATTGTTTGTCACTTACCGATGTGATTGCAGGGAGAATCTGTGTTTCCTGTCAACTATTGATGTACTTGTAGAGAGAACTTGTATTGGTTTCATAAGAGCTCTTTGTGGTTATGGAATAGTTAAGACTGGATTGAGATGTGCACAACTGTTAGTCCATGTTGTCGCAGCCTGTTCAGTTCATCTTTGGATGAAAAAACTAAATACATTTTTTGTCTTGCAGTCTACTGGGTCACCTCCATCAGCTTTTGAAGTACCATATGATTCTTTCAGAGAACAGCTCATATCAGGTCAAATAGATGCTGCTGATGTCAAGACTTCTGCTGACAAATTGCAGCAGAATGAAATAAAGGATTTGGATTATGATTTTCTTTGTTATTTCCTTTCCACCAATAGGATAGATCTCTATAGATCAATTGATTTTCGGTGTGAAGATATGCTCTTAGGTAAAAGATTAATGAAATTTTTATGATTATTTGCTTTGTTTAATATTCTTTTAAGGTCTTAGAATTCTCAATCACAGCCTCATCCATTATTCACAAGCCTTCTAGGAAGAGCATTCTTTTCTGCCTTAAGATTTTTGCGGTTATCATGATACCTAGGGCTAATTATCTGCTTCTCTTCCTTCCTCTCTTCCTGCCCTTCTTCGTTTCATAACATTTTGATAAGACTGGATGAATTAATTTGATCCTTTCTTTCTCACATTTTGGAAAGACTAGATAAAGTAATTTGATCCTTTCTTTCTCTTTGTTCATAGTTTTGATGTCATCTAAGGATATGTATTCGGATAAGTTTCTTCTGAATAACTGGAGAAACATTTTCTTTGGAAATTGGATAGTGAAATGTGAGCAATTCAAACAAGTACCAGTGATCATTTTGTTAATGAAGGTTAATTCTTCTTCTGAGTTAACCAGTGTGCTTTAATTTTGTAGTCCTTGAGATACTAATTTTTGCTTCAACTAAAATAAATCTTTCTTTTAAATAAGAGCTTTCCATTTTAGTTCCTTAACAACTTTACTTAGAATACCTTGATCCTAATTAATTCATTATGATGGTGCATACTGCAGGAGCAGATGGAATTCTATCTGAGGCAGGGTGGCTTCTTGATGTGGGTCTTTTGCCGAACTCGAATTCTGCTACTCGAGCAATTGGTTACCGACAAGTATATTTGCATCCCTATACCTTGAACACAGTCCAATAGTTTGTTTACTAATATGTGTTTGTTCAAAATCTTTTAGGCAATGGAATACCTTCTAAGATGTAGGGAAAATGGAGGATGGAGTTCTGCTGGGGACTTCTATGAATTTTTATCTGAATTTCAGAAAGGATCACGGTATGTTACTTTCACTGTGACTATGTAATTGTCTCAAATCGTGATGATCTTTGTTGTTCTCGGTTTCTTTGTATAGAAGATATGGATGTAGGGAAAATGACTGTCTTATTGTGTAATAAAATATAATTTTTCAAAATGTTATCTTTCAATAAAATGGCCTTTTAGTATGAACCGTTAAGGCCTCCTTGATTGAAATGTGTTTGATCTAACGGAAATTATTTTATGGAAAATATTTCCGGGGAAATGTTTTTTAGTGGAAGATTATTTTCCCAGAAAATGTTTTCTCGTGTTTGGTTTGTGACTGAAAAATAATTTTTGGAAAAATACATATCAAAGACTGATAATAATTTTAGCAAATTGGATAGTGTTTTACCGAAATTTGACTAATAAAGATTAATAATTATGTCTAAGTGTTGGTTGGAGCAAGTGATATGGAATTAAAAGTCAACATAGTAATAACGAAAATGGCTTTCGTCCATAAGTGAGGGAGGTCATCCCCTCACCCCCAGCAACCAAGCACTAGTGCATGACTTCCTCATGAAAATGTCTTTCTTAGAAAATAACTTCTGTCATAAGTCATAACAAACACTTTCTCTATTATTTCACATATTAAGACAACCTTTCTTTCTTGACATTTAAATGTTGTATTTATATGCAATTTTTCTCTTCTAGTGTCACAGTTTAGTTCTGGAGGCTTATATGTTGTAGTCATTGTATGCGGATTTGCCATGGATCAGCAGAAAGTTCCACAACTATTCCTGATAGAATTTTAATCATGTCTCCCCTGTCACTGTTGAAGACAACTTTCTACTTAACCCTCACTTCCTTGTCTGCTGAGCGAGCCACACTTCTTGATACTATAGTTACTTTTCAAGATGAGAAAAGAGCAGTATGGATGATGTGGATGCAAATGTGAGGAACTTCTGATAGTACTGCCTAAATTGGTCCACTCTTACTCCTGTCTGGGCTCTGGCCCCTTCCATACATTTGAGTCTGGTCCATGCTTTTAGTGCTGGTTTTCCTGATTTGATTGGATTGTCTATAATACTAGTTTCTTGGCAGTAGTATTAGCAATATTCTTGTAGTTTCTTGGCAGTAGTATTAGCAATATTCTTTTAGCGCTGGTTTTACAGTTCTTTCTTCTCTATGTTGTGTAATGCTCTCCATTTCACATTATTTCATTGTTGTTACTTTTCCCATATTGAAACTGCTGAAAATGTTTTTTTAATCCGGGTCTATCGGAAACAACATCTGTATTTCTACGAGGTAGGAGTAAGGTCTTGTATACTCTACCCTCCCCAAACCCTACTTGTGGGGTTACACTTGGTATGTTGTTGTTGTCTATAATGTTATTTCTTGCAAGTTATAAGCTGATTGACTGATTCTTATATTCTTGTGCAGAAATTTTGCAAAAAGGCAGATGACATGGTTTCGCAATGAACAGATTTATGAGTGGATAGATGCTTCTAAACCTTTGGTATGCCATTTCTGTTTTTATAAGGAATTGTTGTGCCTTTCTTTTTGTTAAATAGAACTTTTATCAAGTTGGACATTTCTCTTCATTCCGGATGCTGTAGCTGAGTTTCTCCTGGTTTATAAAAGTCGTTCACGATTCCTTTTATTGACAGTATGAAATGCATACAGTCATGCATGCATTATATATATGCGGATATTTTCATCATCTCTTTGGGTATCCCATGGTTGGTATATTCTGAGTTGTGTCAGTCTGGATATGAAAGGTTGATTCTGGAAGGTTCAGAACAATAGTGGGTCCTTTTCTTAGCAATAATTACCTTAGTGTGGGAAGATTCTCTTTCAAATTGTTTTCTTCTTTTTTTCATTGAGCTACAATCAGTTTCACAATGACCTCCTTTGGTTTTAGATGCTTATTCTTGCCTTCAGACTTCTCTTTTTCCAAAAGCATGCCTTGAGGGAAAATATAGGCAGTGAACAATTAATTGTAAGAAATAGGGATTCTTTGACTTGGAGTTGGCATGTGATAATTTTCAGTTTTCCTTTTTTCAAGGAACATGTTTGTTTCATGTGCAGAGGCAGTCGTTTCTTCCCCTATGAAAAATTGTTTAATTGTTTAATCTTACCTATTATTGGGCCTTATCTCTCAGTAGCATGAGCCATGAAGCACGTCAAATTCTCCTGTTGACATCTGAAAATGGCATTTACAGGAAAAGGTGCTTAGCTTCATATGTGATTCATATAACAGTCAGGATGGCCATCTCCAGATGCCTGAGTCACTTCGTATGCGGAAAGATATAAGAAATCACCGTCAAGCTGCAGAATTGAAGACCTATCGTACAATAAACAGGTATGAACTTGAAATATAGAAACAAAAATCTTCACTCATTTTCTCCTAACCTGAAATCCCTCTGTATGTGAAGGCATTTCATTGGGCATGAAGATTGTGTGGATGTTCTGGACTGGATAAAGAAGACCTATGGCCAACCGACCGACTCTCTTTGTTAACCAACATCTAAAGGACTTTGTCTTTCACTTCAAGTTGTCAAAATCAAAACATCCAAAAGTTGTTCTCATTGTTATCAAGGTTAGCTTATGGAGATGATTACAACTTTTTTTAGTATTTTGATTTGGTTCGAGCTGTGAAATTGGCACCAGGGTGGCCTGACTACATTAAACTCCCTTGGGATGTGGCACTTCCCTAATGTTTACCGAGCTGCCCTTTTTCAGATTTGATTGCTACTTTTCCCTTAAAATTTGGATTGTTTAAGATGTGGACTAGAGAGTTGTCTTTCTCTATTTCTATAGTATTGTGAAGGTTGAAGTTGTACAATTGAAGAGGGTTGCAGCTAATGAGGCCGTCGAGCTGTGGCTTGGGGATGTCAATCTGCATCTGGGAAATTTTGTACTTGTAGGATTCTGTTCAAGAACTCTATTTGCCAGAAAATCATACATTTTCCAAATTTGTGACTTTTTTTGAGCCATGTATATTTGTTTGCAGTTGTTCTATATAATAATGCACTTAAGTTCTTATATTTTCTGCATTGAGATACTCGCATTATGATCTCTGACAGATTTTTCGGACAAGGCGAGTAAACGAAGGTCCAACAGAAGGTTAGATATTAGAATTTTTTTACTTTTGTCTCATATAATTGATACGTGCGAGGTTTTCTTTTTGTTTCACAAATTGGTGGACTCAAAAGTTTGTACCAAAAAGTGTAAAGAATTGGGTTCACTAACTTGTAAAACAGAAAGTATAACTTGTGTTAGCTGTATGAGGCATAAAAAAAATGTTCTCGATATCATAAAGATGATGAGCCTTTTTTTCCTTAGTGTAAAGATGAGAACTTGGTCCGCAAACGCAACGATATTTGCAGATAATATGCTTCATTGTGATTGATTAAGATAGAAAGAATATGCTTCATTTGTTAATGCACTAGGAAAATATTAAATAAAGTACAATCATTATTATTAAGTATTTTTTTTAAAATTGACTAAAACAACACATAAATTGAGACGCATAAAATATATTCAAAGGTAAATAATTAGACGCGTTTAGTAGGTGAGATGAGATAAAACAAAAATATCTCATGCGTTGGATATCTCCATGAGATTAACTATTTTCATCATTTTATTATTTATCTTATCGATTAAGCATGAAAAAATAATTTTACTTTATTGTATGAGATTACTATCTCATTCGGTGTATCAAACAAAAGTTATAACTTATTACGAGCCTGGTTGGATGGGCATATGAAAAGTTACTTATGAGCCAAAAATTAAAAATCATACACGTAGTCCGTAGATGGTATCCTATTTTTAATTTCTGACTTATTTTAAAACTTATTTGGCCTAAAAGTGGATGCTTAAAAGCACTTTATAATCTTTCCAAATACCTTCAAAACTAAAAAACTACTAAAAAGTCAATGCATCTAAAAATAAGTTAATCTAAATGGGACTAAGTCAAGAATTTTAAGTTGCTTCAATGGTATAGTCAATACTCCCTCCGTTTACTTTTAAGTTTCTATTTTAAATTTTACATGCGGTTAAGAGATAATGATGAATATAAATTTTGTTTAGTCTCAGCCTCTCAAGTCTCAAGTCTTGAGAAATAAATAATTAATATAAAGAATTAAATAAGAAAAGAATAATTATATTTTTTGATATGTTAAAATTAATGTGTAACTACTAAATAATATTGTGTAGTAAATGAAACTGTTCCTCATTAATCAAAGATTTTGAGTGCCATCTCCAAATAAAGTTTTATTTTACACAAATTCAAATTTTAGGGTAAATATTAAATATTGGATAAAAAGATTTTTAAATACTAGAGAACAAGTAAAAATGAATCAAGGGAATATTTACCGGCAGAAAATCAGGGGACCCATTCCTAGAAATTTACGAATCTATAGCCAGTATAAATACTGTAGTCGGCTTCACGCAACTCAACACTCCCTTTGAACATTTCTCTCATTTTCGACTTCACATTTTTCTCCGCCATAGCAATGAGGACATCCATGTTGAGAACTCTGGCTCGCAGAACCTCAACCGCCGGAAGACGCCGGGGATTCGCATCGGAGTCTGCTCCGGACAGGAAAGTTGCTATTTTAGGTGCAGCTGGAGGGATCGGGCAGCCGCTGTCACTTCTCATGAAACTGAATCCTTTAGTTTCCAGACTTGCACTCTACGATATTGCTGGAACTCCTGGTGTTGCCGCTGATGTCAGCCACATCAACACCAGATCTGAGGTTAATTTCTGCTTTATCTTGCCTGTTACTCCATGTTTTACGCTCTTCGTGATGAGTGTGTGGTTTCTCACTCTTCTAAGCCCTAGAATTTTAACTGCTCTGATGTATCAGTGTCCTTTGATGAATATAGGGACTTGATTTCTGTTTTTATGTTGATGACTCGTTGCGTTTATCTCACAAGTTGATCTAATCTTTGTATGTTTATGTGAATCTGTACCTGTGATTTCGTTGAGTTTTGTTTTGATTCCTATTATATTTGCTAATTATATGCCAGGTATGATGATGATAAGCTAAATATTAAATAATGATGTGAAGGCATAGAATTATCAGAAAAAAAACTCTTATCAAATTTTATCTAAGCATTTGTTGTAGATGACTTCAACATTCAATGGCAAATACTCCAGTGATTATTATTACTATTAGAATCTCTATACTGTAATCCTTGATTCCTTGTGAACTTCTCAAGCAAAAACTCATTGGAATTAAACTACAAAAATGTGAAATAAATATTACATTTCTCTAGTTAAGATGACAACTTTACTTTGCTAACAAGGGAGTTGATTGCAATTTGGGATTATGGAGAAGCGTTTCTCAGAACAAATTGCTAGGATAAGTCGAAGTAAGACGTAATATATCCACGTTTAGCTCTCCTACCATAAGGACGAAGGTGAAGAGAGATTGGATAAAACTGCGGTGTCACTCAATCTCTTGAAGAGAATAATGTGATAGATTGGTTGATAGAAATATATTGATTGAAGTGCTCAATCTTTTGATGTGAATGACGTGATAAACGAAAATGCAGTAGATTGATTGAATTTTAGTGATTGAAGTGAAAGAGTGCTTCGAGATTCCTACTTGAGAAGGTAAATTTAGAAAATGGTTGTGAGATCAACAATGTGATATGGGGTGAACTTTGGGTCTCAGATGCTTATTATATCCGCAAGATTAACTGTCATTGGAACTTTAGATGCAAATATAGATGTGCTGTCATATAAGATTGGACAAAAATAGAAATGATCACATTAGGCAAAAAGTGCAAGTATAGGATTAATTAGTAAAAAGTTGCCATATATGGTTTGGCTATGCCTTGCATAAACCTACAAACACTAGTCCTTACGTACGGCATTGTGGTGATTGAAGATGCTATAAAAAGAGATCAGGTTGAACTAAAATCATGTGGAAGAAAATTGCTTTAAGAGTAGTATGATCTCTCTGTATCAATGCGGATTTATCTAAGAATATATCTATAAGGGGTAGCTAGACTAAGCCTTAGTCATTGTTACACTAGCTTTAGCTTCAAATAGGGATAGGTGTGAAGTTTGGAGAACTTTTAGTTTTAGGGACTCCTAATTTACCATAAAAGATAAATTACTTATATCAAAATGAAATGGACCCAAATACAGCAAGATATCTAGAGAATTTATATCATTGACCCCTGCAGTTAGAGATTGAGGTATAGTTAATTAAATTGCCTGATGTTCTTATTACTTTATAGTTTATAGTCAATATACAAACTTTTCTCAAAATACACGGAGAGATAATATGTAAGAAATGGTTAACTGAATAAGTGATCAAATATAAGGTTATTCTTTTCTGATTTATGTGCTCTTATGCATCTATTCCTAATACTTGTAATGTTATACATTACTGAATTTGGTATAACTACATAATTAATGTTGATATTGTGAACACTGAGAGTAAACGTGAAAACCAAACGCTAAACAACTAATGCAGAATTTAGTTGGGGGCTTATTTTAAAATATATGGATCTTCTGAAAGACCCCTAACTTTTTTCCTAATGATGTAATCCTTTGCACAATAAGCCAAACAGTGTTATATTTTTTATCCCACTTGCCTCACCTGCAATCCACAAACTGAACGGCCTCAGTGTCTGATCCCTAGTCCTTGCAGTTCCTTGACCATTGTTTTTTTCCTGGACTTGCAGATTTTGGGTTATGCAGGAGAAGAACAGCTAGGGAAGGCTTTGGAGGGAGCTGATGTTGTCATTATTCCGGCTGGTGTGCCACGAAAGCCTGGTATGACCCGTGATGATCTGTTCAACATTAACGCTGGTATTGTTAAGTCTCTTTGCACAGCTATTGCAAAGTATTGCCCTCATGTAAGTACCCATATTGGTTTACATATTAGTTTAGATGTTGGAGTAACAAATACCAACTCTTCCTCTTTCCTCTAATACCTCCCCTCAAATCTCCAAAAGGCACTTGTCAATGTGATCAGCAACCCCGTGAATTCCACTGTCCCAATTGCATCTGAGGTGTTCAAGAAGGCTGGAACCTATGATGAGAAGAGACTCTTTGGAGTGACCACACTTGATGTTGTTAGGGCAAAGACTTTCTATGCTGGAAAAGCTAAAGTTAATGTTGCTGGTATGCATCATAGTGATTTCCATCTTTGATTTGCTTCTATTTCATTGTATTAAACCGTCAATTCATGTAAAGTTCTTATTCACTACTAAATATTTTGGTGCATTGTTCCAGATGTCATTGTCCCCGTTGTTGGTGGTCACGCTGGCGTAACTATCCTCCCGTTATTTTCCCAAGTAATCTTTCTTTTCTTTTGTTTAATCTAGGTTATTTAAAAATTACGTCTACCTCGTGTTGACTCATAAAAAAAGATTAATTCCACATTGTAACTTTACTAATTCTTGTATTGTTGTTATCTCTAAATGTTGCAATAGGCCACTCCAAGTGCAAATTTGTCAAGTGAAGAAATTGAGGCACTCACCAAGCGCACCCAAGATGGTGGCACTGAAGTTGTGGAGGCCAAGGCTGGAAAGGGTTCAGCCACCCTCTCGATGGCGTATGTTTCTATTCATGCTCTCTTTTACTTATTTAAGTTGCAATGTTTTCATGAAAGTTTCTCTGTTTGGTGGCAAGAACTTTCTGGTATTGACAAGGAACACCTGCATAAGTGTCTTCCGCTAACGAGAGTCAAATTCTTGTAAAGAGGGTCTAGAGTTGCTTGACAACTCTATTTGTTCCTCTTTATGTGACCATATACCCTTTATAGTCCTTTTAAAAAGGAAAGACTTCCTAAACCTGGAAGTAATTTAAGAAACTCTCCATTTTATCCTTGATGAGAAGCCACACAAATGTTATGACATGTTTAAGAGCACAAGTCCCAATTCTTTTCTTTCTTGAACTCTCTGCACAATCAAATAAATTCACATAAATTAAAATGGAGCGAATATATTTTGACAGGTTTTCGCAATACTAATTTACAACATGATACCTTTTTCTGCATGTGTTGTCACATGCCACAACTGGAAA